TAGACCACCAGTTGGATTTTACTAAATACACATATCCTACATGCGCGGACCAGCGTTTTTGCTACCTGCAAAATAGTTCGCATAAATTTGCCAAAAAGAGTACAGACAAATTTACTTTGACGGTTACCCGTTGTTTATTGTTCATTTTCTTTAACCTGTAAACCGGAGTATTTTGGTAGTCTCAGTTACCTAATTTAATTTGACTCTTCCTCTTTCTTGCATTTCACCGATGATCTTCACACCATTTTGAATTTCCTTTATTAAGAGCTAAGAAGGCTTGCTGTTACTGTGACTGCATGTTGTTTCAATAGAGACCTTAAGATTCAAGGAAGAGGACGACTACTTTGCGAGATTTGTCTTACATAGACACTACTCAAAGCTTCATTTTTTGTTTTCACTAGAAAAGTTAACACGGTTACTTTTATTCCCGATTGCAAGAAAAGTCTTCGAACTTGATAATTTGAGTCCGTCACATGACTGGGACAATTTAGCTTACTCCGTCATAGAATTAACGACGGCTATCGCGTCTTCCCCCAAATGATGTTGGTACATCTCTAAAAACTAAATGTGCGCTTTTGGCGTGGCTTTTTCTGTATTAGGGAGTTTGAGCAGAGGCGTGTTTGACCGACGCACGTCAATCGGAAGTCAGGCGTTTTCCCTTTTAATATGCCTTCACGCTACCAGATTTGACTTGCTAAGTGTTTTAACTCTTACAGAGAAGATTTGCTTAAAATTTGGGCGAGACCACTGCCCAAGATAGCAAAAAGGCTATTTCCGGGTTGACGTGCATCGCTCAAAAACGTATGCGCTAAAGCTCACTAAAACTAGACTGCGAGCATTCTCTCCCGTGAGTACACGACGGCGGAAGCGCAAGCATCGCGTTGTGCGAGCGAGAGTTCGATTTTCCAGCAAAAAGCAACTGTTCGCAGTGTATATAAATACAGAAGAAGATCCAGTATAAACAAAATTCCTGTAAAGAGTTTGATTAGTTTCCTGTCAAGTTCAATAAGGGCAGTATATAGATGGACTGTCACTTTGCAAACGCATGATGTCTTAACGAAGGCTCAGTGTAGAATCGGGGTATTTTTTACTTTGCCAAGCTTATTTACGCGTGTGTTTTTTAATTTACCTGAAAGAAAATCCTTAAAGCACTATGATAGCGTGATCGGGTTGAGCGACCCGATACTGAAGAAGCCTGCATGCATAAGAGGCATGTTTTCACTAAGAAGTGTCATGTTTTGAAAGCATTGCGAAGACTATCGAAGAGGTACGATGTTACTCCTGAGCTTGAAAAATGCTGACAACTTGGAACTTAGGTGTATTCAAGAATGAATTAATTTATGCTACATGATATTGTGTCTATAGAGAGGTGCTTTTATCAGTAGATGTCAACTTTATACAGCTATTTCGAGAAAGGTTGTCCCAAAAACTGTGCACGCGACAATCCCGAAAGGTAATATGGGATATGATCAATACACGTGTTGTTGACACTGTAGCTGTCGAAGCTACTTTTGTTGCTTTCCTTTAGCACTCGCAAACATACGTCCATGGCCTCTCGTGCCATTCTTTGAAATTTCTTTGAAAAACAGTGTACTAAAAACCACCCACAATACCTTTCGGGATTGTCGCGTGCACTTTTTCCGACAGTCTTTCTCGAAACAGCTGTATACACAAGTAAATTTGCCTTAAGTCACTTTACATCGCAGTGATGCTTCGGTAGTTCAAACGTTGCATAGCGCTATAAATCCACCGGATAAAACACAATCCAGCAGATAGGCTGATTTGGAAAACCAATTGCGCCATCTACTGGATAGAGAGTTATCTAGTGGATAGCCTTATCCAACTTTTGAACAACTTAGACTATAAATTGTCGCGTTAGTTGAAGCTCAATTCATGATCGGACGATGTGTGTTATCATTTTTATAATGTTTTCCGTCAAAAATTATTACCGGTGGCTAGTAAATGCGATTCATGACATTCATCTTAAAACACGTCGGTGAATGAGACGGCTTCGCTGAATAGTTTCAGAAGCAATTAGTGCAGCTTTAAAATTGTGGCTTGCTTGCCGCGGGACTTTATTCAAGACTCATGTTAAAATATTTGTGCTTAACAAGATTGACGTTTTAGGATCTCTAATTTAATATTTTTTGTTTTCTGTTGGCAATCCAGAATGCGTATTTTCACGCATTAATTTCATGTTCCACCAGTCATTTTCCCACAAGATAATTTAGCAGCTGACCAGGTCGAACATTTGTTGTTTGGAATCTTAGACGTTTCCTACGCAATTTATTTATTATGCACATTAGTTTTGCCAGAAGACTTATATTTACACCCGGAAGTTTGTCTGTTTTGGGCGTTTTCATATTAGCGTTCATTAACATGCATGTCACTTCGCGAGAATCCTTCAGAGGATTTCAGTGGGCGATCAACAAAGTTCAGTAACTTATAGATGTGATACTTGCAGTTGCGTAACCGGAAGTGCCGTTAACTAGCACTATGATATTATTCGAACGGTTGGAGTTTCTGATCAGGGTCAGTTCTATTTTGGAGATTGTACCCTTTAAAAAAAAAAATATTTTTAATATGTTGTAAGATTTCCAGTTCTCTGACAAAAACATTACCGCTAAGTTAAAAAAATCGGCTTAATTTCTCAATCTCCATGCAAATCAGTAGCTAAAAGAGAAAGACAACTACATTGTACAAAAATTGTGACTTTCCTTTCTCCAGACTACTTTTGGATGGTAGGCCTTCGAAATTTGTGAATTAGTGAGTGTATTAGTATAACGTCCAAAAACGAGAGAGTGAAGACGTTAACAACTGCACCGCAAATGCATGAAAAATACTTCTTTTGCCTCTACTTCTGCTGCTGTGTTTTTATGTGTTTTGAATTTCTAGACGAGGCCCGCTTCAGTCAAGAAGTGAACAAGACGCGAAAATTATCTATACCGACACACCGTTTCTAGGTTTATTTGCTGAAAGCTGGGTTTATAATTTTTGTTCTGAAACAAATTAGAAAGTTTAGGGATGACGCATTCATTCTGGTAATTCTAGAGACCTGTTAAGCTCTTGCAGAAACATGTGTTATGAATACAAAATCAGGCAATTTGTTAGTGCGGAATTTTCGAGCAACAAGCGGGTACCAGGGGCTAATTAGGGGAGATTTTCTGATTAACAATCCTATCGACTGGTTGGCCACTTAACTAATGCGTGAACCACCTTGCTCCATCTTGAATGTTCTTCAAAAGTTAATCAAGAACAGCGTGAAAACAGCATGTAAACATCTGAACTTGACAAGCAATTGACAATCACTTCTAAATTTGAATCTGCCAGATATTTTTATTTATTTATACGTATTGATGTATTTCTAATAATTTTGATGGATTTTGTTTTCTTTCGGAGATACTAGCCGAACGATTTTGCTATCCACAAATTCCAAAGTGAAATAAAGTCTTTGATTGATTGACTGATTGACAATCACTGACTTAGCCTTTTCCAGGCTTCAAGATAGTGGGGAAAACGGATCGTAGAAAAATGGAAAAACCGCCGTTTTTCGCTCGCTCAAATTTTCCCTGCTTGCGTGGTTTTTTCGCTTCTCGGTCGCTTTTTTTGCTTATTTACACTGACCGAGAGCCTGGCAAAGGCTATCACCGACTCAAGTTTGAATTTGTCAGAGTTCTTTATAGAAATAAGGTGCATTCTGTTAGTCGCGTTTAAAACTGTTTTTAAAATAAACAACGGGAGTTTTCATAACACTTGCGTTCTATACGTCGCATTTCATTTGGGGATAGAATATCTAGGTTTTTCCTGCGGAATTTTCATACCATTGCAATGTTGAATGCACATGGTACATGTGTTTTCAAATTACTGAACCAGTACTTCATAGTGTTGTAGATTATTACAGTGCAGTTTGTGCTGGTCTAATCAGGCGCGGCCGGTTCAACATTCACAATTTGGAATCTGGGCGCCTCCCTACAGAGGGAAAAATTCACCTGCGATCAGGCGTTCCCTCTTCGCTTATTCTTTCCTTGCCCGTCCGCGCTCCTCTGAAAAAGAACGCTTGGTCATAGGTTAGATAAAAATCTGACGTTGTGTTCCTCTTAGCGTGCCACGCAGACGGTCTTTGGGCTTCGTAACGCATTTCTCCCCAAAGCGCGTGACGAAGCCCTTAAGAAACCGGTTGGTTCACGGGCAAATGGTAAACAAAATTCAGGACTGGTAAATTTCGCCCGGAATCGCGTTTATCATTTGCACAAATGAGTCCCATTTACCGAAAAACGGCCGCGAAAGCCTGAGAGATGGCTTGGAAGAAATGGAACACGAATTTCCGGGAAAACAGGACTACGGGCGCTTTCGATTCAACCAAAACGTCTGGTTTGAATTTTCAGCAACTTCCAGTAGCGAATGGAACAGCATTTTCCAAAATTTCCAAAAAAGAGGAAAACCTCGCGAGTTATACTATTCGAGGCATAGGATTACTATAAGAGGTATATTTTTTCCCGAAAGTTTTCTTTCCATTCAACTTTGCTCCAGGAGTTTTTCGGTTGAGTGGTTCGCATTTCGGAAATTCAACATTTCTGGAAACTTTTCCGGGAAATTTCTGTACCATTTGACGCTGTTTCCAAATTTTCGAAAGTTTTGGTTGAATGGAAAGCGCCCTCGAAAGCACTATGTTTCATTTCAGCGGCGAGGTATTGCTTCAGAAATATCGATCTAGCGAGAGAGGTGCCCCATAAATTTGATGTTCAACCGCGTATTATGAGTAACGTGCCTGTATGCTTATTAATTTGTCATGAAAACAAGGCCACGCTTTTTACTCGAAAGTTGGAGCAACTATATGTCCTCACTTCGGAAATGAAAAACTTCATAGCCCCATGGCAGATCATGGCACGCTAAATGCACTTTTTTGCCTCAACATTTCACCCTACATGGCTACATCCGACTCAAAGCCAACAGGAAAGGCACAATCAAAGAATATGAATGTAATTTTATTTATTTGACAACCCCTGTCACCATAATCTATTATTATTACTCATTCCTATAGACTGCTTTATACTTTTACGCGATAACACTTCTTATACTGTCAAATTAAATGAACACAGAGAAATTCATCGCTAGGAACTTGTAAAACTCAGTTAATATAAGTTAAGAACAAAAAAACCGATGGATCCAAGACAAGTCATATAGCCGTGCAGTTCACTCTCTAGGCCCGAAATGTATACCAGAAATCAATTTATGTGTATAGAGTCATAGGCTAATAGAGTCAGGGCTACATAACTCATCAAAAACTCCAAGACAACACCATAACCACGGTCCATTTAAAACCAAAACTAAACCGTTTGAAAAACGGCCTTCGGTTCAGAACCGTTGTTTTCCCTTCAAAAAAACTGTCTAATAATTCCTTTCAATAAGAAATTCAGCAAAAATGAAAAAAGCCTTCGGTGTCAGTCAAGTATCGATCCATTGAGCTTTTTCTTCTTTTTCTGTTGTCCCCTCAACCAACACAAAACAAAAGAAAAATGGCCCCGATCGGAATTGGAGTTGTACTAATACTACTTAGTGACTTAGAATCTGGTTACAAACGCCTCGTGAACGCAAATAAATGCAAGAACAAACACATACGTGAAAAGTGGAAAATAAAATTCCCCATGTCTTGCCTCGGCGCTTGAATTTGCGTTTACATTGAGGTTAAGTTCACAGTAAATTTTCTTGTGCATGGGTGCGCGTCGACAGTGTGAACCAGCCCTTAGGTTTTAAAACTTTGTTTTTTTTTAATTTGGTTAAAACATTTTCTTGGTGTAAATGGGGCCTGGTAATAAAAAAAAATGAATTTAAGTATAATTTCTTTAATTTCACTCAATTGCTACGGGTAAAAAAGACTTTACTTTAAGTACGTTACAGCAGTTAAGATTTGCCCAGAAAAATTGTTTTGCGATAAAACTGTTTACAGTAATTATTATTTACAATGTAAGATATCTATATGTTTAAGAATTCGAAACCTGATACTATATATTTACAATGTTTCATCAATAAAAAGGATCTGACTAGTTCGGAACAAACGTTTGTTCGTGACTGAGTTAATTTAAAGTGACTGTATTTAGGATATAAATATATTGGCAGTTTCAAAAAGAAGAAACATTTCAAAAGAATTTAAAAAAAGCAAGTTGCTCTCTGGCAACTTGTAATAATTTAAATTAAAAAATTAATCTAGCTGGTACCCAATAATGTTACGACTTCTCTAAGAACTCGAGGCCTTTTTTCTTGTCTTTTTTGTTTTCTCAAATCTGATTGTTTCTATTTCCAGTTGAGCCATTTCTGTGATTCGCGCCTGGAAAGATGGACTTGCACCCACCATTGGATCAGGGTATTTACAGCCTGGTAAAAAGAAAGTCAATTTGACTTATGTTAGTAGAAATGAATAAAATTTTGCATTGCTTTACAAGGGAACAAATAAAACAATAGGGAGCTTTCCCTGCAAAAAGGAGCCCGGAATTCCCGAGGTAAAATTTCTGGCTTCAATTCTGGGCTTTTTTGCACATGCGGAAAAGCTACGAAAAGGCCTGGAAAAGCCAGGAGTGTCCGAGCTCTCCTGGCTTTCCAGGAATTCTTGGAAAAGCCCGGAAAGCAAGGAGAAAATTTTCCACACTTTCAGGGCTTTTCCTTATGTGCAAAAACCACCGGAGCTTCTGACAAGAAGGATTTCTGGCACTCCCTGGCTCTTCCTTGATTGTAGGGTTTCCTGGAAAGCCTAGAAAGTCAAGAGAAAATGTCCCACGCTTTCCAAGCTTTTCCTTACGTGCAAAAAAGCCTGGATTGAGCTTCTGACCAGAATGATTTCAAGCACTCTTGGCTCCTCCTTGATTCTAGGGTTTCCTGGAAAAGCCAAGAGAAAATATTCCATGCCTTCCAGGCTGTTCCCGTTCAAAAAAGCCTGGAACCCTTGCAGACTTTTTAAAACATGACGATCATTTCACTTGATTCTGGGGTTTCCTGGGAAGCCTAGAAAAGCCTGGAAAGCCAAGAAAAAATTTTCCAAGCTTTCCAGGATTTTCTTTACATGTCAAAAATCCTGGAAATTTCTGACTTAGAATGATTTCTGGCTGTCATGGCTCTTCCACATTTAGAAAAGCCTGGAAAGCTAAGTTAGGGGGTGTTTACTCATTTATGGAATCTAGCAGGGTATGCTTGATCTGGCTTGACTGTAATATGCCTTGACTCTACAGAATTGTAAATGAAAATTTTGTTCAGTAAGGACTTTGTTTACAAAGGTAATGCTTCCCTATGTGTCACACATTATTTGTAATCTAAACAGTTCATTATAAAATAAAGCTCACTGTAAAACCCATTGTTGGTCATGGCTAATCAGCTGTCCTCAGTCCATTGCAAAGATATTCCCAAAACAGTCCCAAGTAAAATAACAGTGAAATATAATATTTATATGTAGCAGCCTTATACATAAACACAGCTGTGTGTACATTTTGCAATCCCACCACTGAGTTCCCCATGAAATGATGTCTGAAGAATGAGCGTAGAGTTTCCTTACTGATGAGGCATCACTACCCAGATCTGTGATGTGTCATCAATATGAAATTCCTGGGGAAACCAGTGATGGCCATGTCATAAAATGTTGGCTGTTTTCTCAGGCTATAGCATCACAAAAGATGTGAAATGATCATTATTTCTGATCCTACCTTTGAGATTCAAGGTTGCCTTTGTTTTCCACCTAAACAATATAAACATAAAAAGAAATATCAGTGCGAGCTACTTAAAAGTGACCAGAAATCTTTGAAGACTTTCGACATTCAAACAGTTCAAAGGTGTTGACTTTTGTTCATAATTTGCATCTTTTGTGCAGGGGAAGCTGTAGTTAAAAATTACAGTGCATTTATTGTGCCTGTACATTATCTAGAACTACAATATTTTGACTGTTTCATCTGCAGAACTTTTATACTCAAAGTTCCTTAAATATCCGCTTTGTTTTGCTGCCGCTTTGACTAATTTACATGTACTATTTAATGTAATTTTATAAAATTTAACATTATTTCAAAGTGAGCCCTCTCGATGACTTTTTTGTTACTCTTAGGGCAAACTTTGTCAATAAAAAATGTTTAAATTAAAAAAAGTGACAATAAATCAAGTTTTAACCCTCACTAAGAATTATTAGCATAGGCTACAGTTGTATTTTCTCTTACCCTCATGAGTTCTTTTAACAGTTTATTAATTTTCAAAGTGTTCACTTATGAGTTTTATTCTTATTTAAAAAAAAACATTTCCCTATTAAAAAAGGGTTTTGGATTTCTGCAAATGGTAGAAGTTTTTAAACACACACATTAATTTTATAGTATTATTGGTGTTCTGACTTCAGCTTTAGTTTTCAAGATTCTGTTAGAACCGTTCCATTTTTTAATAAGTTTATTAATAAATGCAACATTTAAAAACATAAACTAACAATCCTCCTTGTTTTGACTTTGGCATGACTTGTATATCCTCCTCAGAGGAAGATCTGAAAAAAAAAAAACACATACGTACAACGTATATAATAATTTGACCTTTAAGTTAAGTGACAAAATGTTTAGAAGTTTAACCTTGTTTTACTTTTTGTCAAGATTGTGTTTATTTTAATAGTGAACTTTGTAGGTATTGAATGCTGAAAGTTCTACAGCGAATGGAAAACACCATGTAATTGAGTGAAATTAAAGATTCATGACCACTGCACATTAAAGTTAATGTCTTTATCATCTTCTTGAGAACTAAAAACTTATTGTTTTTTCAAGGTTACCTTTTTATATTTTTTGCTCAACTTCCCTTATGGCTTATTTTTTTCCTTATTTATCTTTTAAAGAAACCTCTACACAAGATGAATGTACTGAAGTGAACGAATTAGTCTCTTTGGCACCTCAGCATATCAGTTTAATAATTTTTTAGGACAGGTAGTTTGAGAAAACACCTGTGTCTACTTTTGACTTTTCATTCAAGTTTTTAAAGCAAACATCACTTAATAACATGTATGAAAACCAGACTGGAGCTGCATGTGTGCTCACTACTTGTTAACAGCCAAAAGGCAGTGCACCCTGCCTGTTGGAAATTATATAACATTTATCAATTTGTGTTGTGGTGTTCAGCTAGAGTTGTTTGACTCTCACATTACCCAGGCCTACACAACTTAAGCCTTTACAATTTAAACACTGCCACTATGACAAAAAGTCAGCAAGATTGACAAAAGGATGATTGCCAGGGTGGGTACTTGGGTTGGCCAGCTGTGAATGCAGACATGTATTTCAGGTTATTGTTTTTCTTGGCAAAGAAACAGCCAGAAACACAATGTATATCTGCATCTGCAACCTGCTATTCTGAAGATTGGCATTTAGCCTGAGCATTAAATTGTATGTAAATAAAGTAAGTAACAAATGATTTATTAATCATGTGCAAATGCAAGTTGAAATAAATATAAATGCAAGAGAAAAGTAGTTAAAAATATCTAATTGTTAGTGCCAGTGAAAAAGTGTCAGTAAATGTGGACTAACAAGAGATCACTGTTGTTTAATGTTTCCTTTTTGTCTGTTCTGCTAGTTTGCTGCTGGTCTTTTGGGTTAATAACTAGACTGTACCAGGATAAAAGTAACTATTACAACAGCATCCTTGTGACATTCGACACAAAATTGTTCAGAGCAGAAACTTCCTTTTTGGAACATATACGGGAAGAGATAGACACTTTAAAAAGGTTAAAAAGGATCCCTTGACTTGATAGATTTGAAGCAGTGATATTGATGGTTAGTACCACTGCATCTGACTTTTAAAGGAAAATTGTTTCTGTGGGACTTCATATCCTCAACCATGAAATAAAAGTTAACAGGAGCCGATAACCCGGAGCGTGCAACTGCCATAAATTCGTGCAACAGCGTTTTTACAAGTGAGTCTATTTTTAGATAAGCTTTTCCCGCAAAAAATGACTGTTGTTGCTTCGACCTTTTCACAGTCGGCTGTTTCGAAGATGATTTCGATTTCCCTTTGCATGAATTATGCATTGTCGCCAATGAAGTGGACGTCCCTGGCTCTTCTACGTTTTACAGATCTTCCTCTGAACTGCTAGTTTCCGTGTAAATACTGAAATTGTCGCTTAAAGTACTGTCAGAATAATCCTCTGAAGATTCCTCACGTGTGTTCGCCATGCTTTTTTTTCAATGTGAAGGAGTTGTCCTGGTTACGTATCAAACGTTTATTATTGATGATGCACTTGCTTGTGATTGGCTTTTCGAAAGCAATTCGTGGGAAAGGCTTATCTAAAAATAAACCTACTTGTGAAAACGCCATTGCATAGGCACAGTATGGAAGTTAGACGCTCCGGGTTATGGGCTCCTGAAGTTAACCTTTTGATAAACTGAAGATTATTAAAACATGTGAAGACACCTCAAAAACGTTGTTAAGTTTCACCTGGACATAGGTTTAACTGGAGTCTGTCGTTGTGATGTGATCGGTATTGTCCCAATAGCAATGAGATCACTGGTGCTGCAAGGCATTGTGGGTATTGATGTACTGCGATTAAAAGTCAATGGAATCTTGGGTCCTGGTCGAAAAAAGCTACTTCTGTAAAGTTCTGCAGCTCCATCACTTGAAAGAAGTTCTTCATTGTTTATTTTGCATTTTCCAAGTGGCAAAACTCTGTTTTCTCCATCACTACAGCTACTGTCAGGTGTTGTATATGTGTTACTTTGTGGGTTCCTGTGAGTAAACTGACTCTGTCGCTGCTGTTTAACACTCTTGCATCTTGCGTCACTATAGAAATGACAGAAATCATGAGCAAGAGTTTATAGGAGCTACAATCCTGTATGGATGTTCAAAATACACTCCAGATTAACATAGTTTCACCCTAATTTGATATTCAGTGTCCTATGTCCTCTAACTGTTATTCTTCATGATTATGATTTCAAGGAAATTGCCAATCAAACTAGCTCGGTTAAAAATGTTTTGACCCAAATTTCATTTTCTGCTTTAGGGACTGCTTGTTTAGGCATTTTGAGAAGCTTAAAAGATTTTCAAACTGACACCCCAATTATTCTTAACTTTTTAGAAAAGACCCCCCATAAATTTTAACTGTTGTGAAAGTGACCCCCCCCCCCCCCTTCTGATTGCTGTGGAAACTGCAAATATTCTAACTACAAATCGTGTAGCCTGCAGAACAGGGATTAATTTTCAGTATTTTTCAGGTGAGATGCTTGCCTTCTCTCACCTGAAAAACACAAAAAAATGATCCGAAGTTCAGCACAAACTTTATCTACAGTCACATTTATAAGATCAGTGTTTAGTATTTACGGATGTTTCAATTTCAATTCATGCTCATTACTGCTTTGTTTTACTTTCAAGTAATTTATTAGAATGCGCCCCAGGTAACGCTCCCTAATCTGAAAATGACGTCTCAAAGCCAATCAAGATTTTGAAAATGACCTCCCATCAAAATGACTCCTCCCCTCCCCCCCCCCCTCCCCTCCACAGGTAATAAACGACCAGCCCTAAAACCTACATGTTCAATCTCGAACAGTTTCTTAGGATAAAATTCAAAAAGTTTGTTGCTTAAAGGAAGATATTAATGAACTGGTCTATGCAATATTTAACATTGGTTTAACATGACATTAACCTGGAAAATTTTGACAAAATTATTTTGTCTTCATAGGAAAACCCCGCGTTTCACCCACTAAAAGTTCGAAATAGCGGGGCTCGAAATAAAAAAAAAGGGGAAGGGTAAATCCAAGGGCATATTTTGTCTTCATAAAGTATAAACAAATACTGATAATCTAACAATTTGAAGCTTCTTAAAGCAGCCATTTAGCATCAAAAAGTTCTATAAATTAACGATAAATTGTTGAGTTTTAGTGATATTATCACAGAAAACCTTGGAACAAAATAAAATTATAGGCTTAAAAAGTTATCATTTGTCAGTTAATCATTTCTATTGTTTTTTAAAAGAATTCTGTCTGTTTTTTCAAAGGACGAATAAAGACTAAGCGTGAAAATATGAACTCGACTGGTTATTTGCGAAAAAGTCCTGTACAACGTGCAACATGTCCGTTTTGGCCTGAAATTCTTTCAGTATATTAACAAAAATCTCAATTAGCTTTAATATTGTTGACCACAACTCTTAATAAAATAAACTCAGTAATTGGAAAGACTTTGTAAACACAGTTTCCGATCTTCGATTTGACGAGTTTCTATTTTTACTATGGTCAAGGGAGGAAAGAAAAACACAACGTTAAACCTTCCTTTTACAACACCGTCGTACCTACCAATATTTATGGACTGAGGCCCTTTAGAATACGTAGTCGAGCTGCCATTTATGTAAGTCATTGCATTTTACAATAATCCGAATCTCCTTCAATCGAAAAATTGTTTTGGTCGGTTGTTACTTACTCCGGGTTGTTTCTTGTCTTCTGCTGTACAGGAGCGTATCCAGCATCCGTTATTCCTTTATCCACCGTCAAAGGCTCTTCAAGTAAAAAACAAACATTCAATTTGGGTGCTTAAAACAAAATTCTATTATGGTTTGATTATTGCGCGCGCCACAAATATTTAGAACGTAACTATTCCGCTGTTGTCATTTATGTACACGTAACAGTCAGGAAACGAGAAAAACTCACTTAATATGTATTTTTGTCTTGCTTGGCAAAATCTCTGAGGACTATGAGCAGCCATGAATGTGTCAAGCGAAGTAAAAGGAGTTTGAGGTGGGCGCATTCTCAAAGTTACGACATTGCTCGGCGTAGAATGCTTCCAAAACGGTGAGACACAGGCTGTTCTTGGAACAAAATTGGTCCTTTCCCTGCCCTGTGCCATTAACAGGCTTTGGAGTCACCTCCAAAGCGATAGGTCTAGATCAGAAACCATGAAAGATTCGAATATTTGAAGACCATCTTCTCCATGTAATCTGCTTTCCGGAGAATGAAATCTTATGTTAATTTCTGCGCCCGCGTCTCTTGGGATCCTTGTATCCTAGCAACTTGTGTCTGTCGTAGCCTGAGACCAGGCTCCACAGCGGGGAAAATATCGGGGAGTGTAGCGAGTGTAGGGTATCATTTTTCGGGAAACCGAGCGGATTTGGGAGTTTACTCTAGTATAGGGTAGCAAAATTCAGCTGAACTTAGCTCTGGTATAGGTTAAGGGTCCCAGGGTCCCAGCGGCACATCCCCACCCAGAAATTCCTTCGCTCGCCGATGTTTTTTTTCAGCGCCCACACCGATGTTTTTTTTCGCCCACACCAATTTTTTCTCCTTTTCACAATGCGGAGCCCGGTCCCAGGCTTGTCCCAGGCTATGTCTGTCGATATATCCTCACCAGTCTTTACTCTGACAAAATGGCAGGAGGGGAGGAGTAGGTGGGCAGTTTCCCCCAGAAACGTAAGTGTGTCTTATGGGGGCTGGGGAGAAAGAAAAAGGAAGCGCGCGGGGGTCCTTAGGTCCTCGCGGGAACCGCGTGGAGCGCCTTTTCCCTCTTCCAATCGTCTCCCGCGCGCTTGCTATTATTTTTATTGGGACGCCCAGTCAGCGGAAGCCTCTGCGGAGAAAAGAGCTGTGATTTTGTCATCCGCGCGTAATTTCTCAAGATCTGTGGCCAACAAGGACGTGTAATTGACATTATTAGCAAACTAAACTAATAATTCATGACAGGGACAGCGCCTTTAGGTATGGTGTGGTGGCGCTTAGACGCTGGAGACATTACACTTTATCACAAACTATTTTGAATGTCTTTTTGTACCCTGTTTAACTGAATTAGAATGCTTTTAAAAAGAATCAAGTTCAGCCCGCGGCGCGGCACTAGCCTAGGACCAAGCACCACAGTGGGAGAAAAAGTCGAAAAAAAATCGGTGAGAGCGAAAAAAACAAAAGGTGAGCAGAGAGAGCTAAGCGGAGGGGGGAGGGGGGCGGCGGCTTTCCCCCTCCCGAGTCCACCGCTTTTTTTTCAATTTATGCAGTGCATCCATTTTTTTTTATTATCTTCTCCCCCACTGCAGAGCCGGTAAAACCCTAACCCATTGAGTACAGATGACAAAACACTAGAAGTCAGATACTGAGAAATAATAACACTTTACTACTGAAAGAATTGGTATACAGCTCTACACTAAACTAGGTGTCGCGTTACACTTTATATTGATCCAAAACTGATAATAAAATATAATAACTATCCAAACCAAGAGAGAATACCGACATTATTCTCTCTTGTCCGAACTACATGTTACTTTTCTCGACAAGCTGCACAAAGAAAGCAAGGTGATATTTCTCATTATCTAATAAAACCAAATAGGACTTACAATTAGCTACTACGAAAATAATTTTTTGAACACACTTTAAAATTTTTTTAAAAAACTCACAAAAGCTTTATCGATGTCTTAGTGTAATTAACTTTTACGACTTTGATTGTATATACTGCCAATGTTCTAATAAAGTTAAAAAATGATATACAGCCGACCTAGCCCTTAGGCACGAAAATGAACTTGAAATAATATAACGATAAAATAAAAAGTAACAAAGCTCCGAAGTTTTGCAATGTCAGTACACTGAATGTCGTATGACTACATTACGCTTAAATGTCACTGATGTTGCCACAGAGTAACTTGAATTAGTCAACTTCCTCCACTGTGGGCCCATCGGAAGAACTGTAACCCTGTTGCGGTTGCTGCTGACCATGTAACTTGGCCATGATAGGGGAGCAAACTTGCTGAAGATCTTTCTGTTTCTCTTCATATTCCTCTTTATCTGCCATTGAATTCCTGTCCAGCCAAGCCATCACTTCCTGAGTCTTGTTCTTTACTATCTCCAGATCATCAGCGTTCAGCTTGTTCACCACATTTGGGTCTTCTGCTGTTTGTTTTACGCTGTACACGTAACTCTCCAAGCTGTTTCTTGCAGCAATCTTTTCCCGCTGCATCTCATCTTCTTTCTTGTACTTTTCGGCATCAGCGACCATGCGGTCGATTTCTCCTTTAGAGAGCCTTCCCGTGTCATTAGTGATGGTTATAGCATTCGTCTTCCCTGTGCTCTGGTCCTTGGCGGAGACATTTACGATACCGTTGGCGTCGATGTCGAAGGAGACTTCAATCTTGGGGACGCCTCGCGGTGCAGGAGGGATTCCTGTCAGCTCAAATCTTCCCAAGAGGTTGTTGTCTTTTACCATTGCGCGCTCTCCCTCGTACACTTGAATGGTAACACCTGGCTGATTGTCCGAGTAGGTTGTGAACTCTTTTGAAGTCTTTGCTGGAATTCGACTGTTGCGCTCAATCAGTGTGGTCATAACTCCACCAGCGGTCTCTATACCAAGGCTCAAGGGAGTAACATCGAGCAAGAGAACATCTTTGATTTCAGCACTTTGGTCTCCAGCCAAGATAGCTGCTTGCACAGCCGCACCATATGCTACTGCCTCGTCAGGATTGATGGACTTGTTTAACTGTTTGCCATCAAAAAATTCCTCCAGAAGCTGCTGTACCTTGGGGATCCTTGTGGAACCGCCAACCAAAACTACCTCATGGATTTGGTTCTTTTGAAGTTTAGCATCTCTGAGCGCCTTCTCTACTGGTTCCAAACAGGAACGGAAGAGATCATTGCACAGTTCTTCAAATTTTGCACGGGTAATCTTGCTGTAGAAATCAATTCCTTCTGCCAGTGAATCGATCTCAATACTTGCTTGCGTACTACTTGATAGCGACCTCTTGGCTCGTTCACAAGCGGTCCTCAGGCGACGCAGCGCCCGTGAGTTTCCTTTCAGATCCTTCTTGTACTTGCGCTTGAATTCTTCTACAAAATGGTTCACCATGCGATTGTCGATATCTTCTCCGCCAAGATGCGTGTCACCAGCCGTTGATCGTACCTCGAACAGAGATCCATCATCAATGGTCAGTATGGAAACATCAAACGTTCCTCCATCCAGATCGAAAATCAGAACATTCTTTTCACCGCTGAGGTTTTTGTCCAAGCCGTAAGCAAGAGCAGCGGCTGTAGGTTCGTTGATGATTCTTTTAACATTTAATCCTGCAATCATCCCAGCATCTTTAGTGGCCTGCCTCTGCGAGTCGTTGAAATAAGCAGGCACTGTAATGACTGCATCCTTGATTGTCTGTCCCAAGTAAGCTTCAGCTGTTTCTTTCATTTTTGTTAACACCATAGAGCTTATTTCTTCTGGAGTGAATGTCTTCCATGTTTCCTTGCTCTGAACGCGGAATTTCGGCCTGCCAGATTCATTGATGACTTGAAAAGGCCAATTTTTTCTGTCCGATTGCACAGTAGGATCGTCAAATGACCTACCGATCAGTCTTTTGGCATCAAAAATAGTGTTGTTTGGGTTCAGCGTTGCTTGGTTCTTAGCTGCTTCCCCGATCAAGCGTTCGACGTCAGTGAAGGCAACATAACTTGGAGTTGTTCGGTTGCCTTGATCATTGGCAATAATCTCAACTTTACCATGTTGAAAAACTCCAACACAAGAATATGTTGTTCCAAGATCGATTCCAATCGCGGGTGCTAACGTAGCTGGCATCCTTGAAGCTGTGTTAATTCCACTTATCTTGTTCTCGAAGTAATTTTTCTTGCGATGGTTTGTCTGTTTTCAGCAAAATTTAACTGCGCTTTGAAACCTGCTCGTTTTTATACCCTTCTTTGAAAATCCCTTACACAACATTTCTAAAAATACAAAGTGCTGCATCATTATTTTTCAATGATGAGCCAATGATATTTCTTTTATTTTAAGTTAGACAAATCCTGACTGTTCTAGAATTTTTGCTCTAGAAATTTCTGTTGCATCAGATCTCTCCAAGATGATACTAGATTTTGCTGGAGACTTCTTCAGTAAGCTCTCGCCCTTTCACGATTTCTCGAGAGAATTCGCGAAGTCTCTAATTAGTCCCAATCTTCCTCGGCCATATTTCATTGACTTCTCAAACAACATGGCTGCCGTTGACCGACGTGCGCTTGACTTTGAGTTTTATTTGGTGGGATGCAGGCGCGGATCTAGGATAAATACTGACTGATTTCCTAAACGAGCGCCGAAGGCGCAAGCTTCTAGAGGGTCCAGTGGCAGGCTCCCCCAGGGGAGTTTTTGGATTTTTAACTCCTTTAAGTCCTCTTTCCTGCATCGGTTTCCGAGTCATTTGGACGGGATATTGGCCAGAGTTCATTTTGGAAAGTGTTTTATTTAATTTTTGTTGAAAATATATTTATTATGAAAAATCTGACCGATTTCCGTAAAACGCTGGAAGCCGGTGTGGATCCGCGCCTGGGATGTCTTATAAAAAAGCTTGAATACCCGAATATAACGCTTTGCTTTAATTCGAGAGTCTTAGTAAAGGCCTGGCAGTGAGCAAAATCCGACTCGATGCTAGTAGCTACATCACCCAGAGGCTCCAGTGTACTACGTGTGCTTTCGTAGGGCTGGTCAGTTATTTTGTGAACGTGTTTACGTTTGCGTCAACAATTCGAGTTCCTTTGTTTATGAAATTCATGTCATAAAATTCCAATATTAACGATACAAATTCGCTAATTTTTGGACCAAAACCAGTGCCACAACTCTAGTTTTTTAAACCTTTTTAAAAATATTTTCAATTTCCTGTTATCGAGAGCAGAGTCTCCTTCGATGTTCCCAGACAACTTATCAAGGAAAGATTGAAGCGACTTTGCTAGCAGGATACTCGTCACCAGCTCTCTCTCCTCCGTAAAGGCCTCTTTGTTTTTTTTGCAGGAATAGATTATTGCTATTTTATTCTGGATTATTTTTATTTTATTCTGGAATTAGGGGAGATTGCATTTTCCCAAGAGCATTTTAAGACAATAAGATGCAAAATTTGGGGGCGTCAGAGTGTAACCATGGTAGCAAAATTTCTGGATGACAACAACCGAACCCCCTCCCCCCGCCCCCCACCCACCAAAAAAAAAAAAATTGCACTGTTTCAAACTGCATTAATCTTATTTGATTTGTAGGTGGAATTTTCTGGGATTGAATCCCAAAGGACCATACCTAAGTTTAGGAAAAGATACCTCAGATAGTGGGCGAGTGAAATTAGGAAATTTCATGTTGCAGACATGCAACGACGGCTCAGAAATGTACAAAAAAGAGTCATGCACATGCAAAGTTTTTTTTGGCTAATATAAACCTATTTCTTTTTGCCGTTCTCTTAAGCTCCTTATCGTTGTGATCCAAAAATTTTGCTACCATGGTAACATGACATCACACTTCTCCTCTCCATACCCATTGCGAGCCTCTGCTGAGGAGAGAGTGTCATCATGAGTTTTGAGAAGCTCGTGCCCCTGGGGGCCGGGTTCTGCTGATGCCACTTGAGTCAAAAGCTTGGTCGCTGGGACAGACGAAAAAGAGATTTTATGGACACAAAAAGCCAAATGCCATTGGGGGGGGGGACTACTCATCAAAGTTTTATACAGGGAGGCTTTCCCCTGAGGTCCAACCCCTTGACCTTTTACAAATGGTAGAACCCTTTTCACATGCTAGTTTAGAATGTTGAATCCCTTTTAACTGGCATAAATGCATTGTCTTTCAAATATGAATAAATCATTATTAAAACCAGAAAATTTTGGTCTTTTTTACAGCCATAAAATGCGCTAAATGCATCTGTTAGCCCTTTTAGGGTCCTTACACAGACTGCAATGACAGATTTACCTACCCTTTCATAAACTTCAGCTAGTGAAATCCTTACCCTTTCATATATTACCCGAACCCTGAAAAAGGTACCCCTTTAGAGCGGAGCATCCCCTGTATAGGCCAATGTAGGGAGTACCTCCCCCCACAACCAGGCAAACCGAGAACTACTCTGGGTTTTTGTAGTGCTCTCGAAAGCAACCACCCTCTATTGTTTACCATGAAGTTGCTTACGAGAGCTCATTCTCGTAAGCAACCAGCTCTAGTTACAATCACTAATTTCTGAGGTGGTGTCTTACAACAGATTCCACTGTATTATATTTAATATACTTTTTAAGTACATATTAACAATGGACATGTAAGTATTCACTCCAGACTTTCACAATGAAAGGTAGTAGTTTCTTTTATTACATAAACACCAATAAAATAATAAAAAGATCTAAAAAATACATTATATGCTGTAAAATAATAATATACAATAAAATATTTTGCCTTTTTCTTTTCTTTGCGCAAATCCAGACTCAGATCTCTTTTAACAATATTATTATAGAATTTCTTTTTCTCTTAACATTAAACAATTATTATTATAGATCATCAATCGAATTCATACCCTTTCCAGATTCTGGGTGGAGCTAAATAAATTCTGAAACCCTTATACATAAAGCTTACAACACCTCTGTAGGCCATTCGAGGTACTCCAGCTTTCAAATCATTCATAACTCCCAGCTGATTTGCCAGAGCCACAAATGATTGCTCCGTGTCATACTGGATTCTTACCGATGGAGCAGGCATTCCCTGGCCTGAGTTAAAGTACTCAAAGGAAACTAATGGTGATTTGTAAACAATGTTAATGAACTTCGGATCATATTCGTCTTTGAGGAGAAAAGTCAGGTTTCTTTTTGTGAAAGGGTAAAACTCAGAATTACGCTTGATGTGCCTGAGATGCTCATCAAAGAATTGTCCTTTGCTGACTCCTGTCTTGCCAAATGTCTCAACACGTGGGATTTCGGGACGAATGCAAGCACGCTCACGTCTTTGGTCTGGGTGTCGCATCCAGTCATCCCAGAATGCTGCCGGCCACTTTGGAGCTAGCTCATGCCAGATGGTTCTTTTTAACATCCACCCAAGACCTGGAAAAAAGTCACTGCGATAGAGCAAATCATTACCCCGTACATATCCAGTTTTGCCATTGTCATTCCAAGCTGACACACACCAGAGGGAGGGGTCTTCCTCCAGTAGAGGCTTAGTGGCTTCAAAGTATTCAAAGAAATCTGGAGAAACCTCAAGGTCATCTTCAATTATAATAACAGTGTCAAAATCCATAACATCAAACACCTGTGACAATGCCCAACTATAATGTCTTGAAAGTTTGTAATATCCTTTAAGATTTTCTGCAACTCCATTGATATCTGTTAAATCAGGATGCTTGATAAAATGCACTATTTTTCCGTAACTAGCGACAACTTGGGCTGTTTCCTGGTGCCCACAGTCTTGACTGACTACGATAGGGAATTTCTCCTCAGAAGGTCGATATTTTAGCAAACTGTCAAGGCATCTTTTTACTTCTGGTCTGTTGCATGCTACAACTAGAACAGCTGCCACAATTTGTACTTTATTCGCCTGAAACCGTGGTTTACTCTGACCTAAGCTTTGCTTTGTCCCTGCATGTTTAAAGCTGGATGAGTGACTGATGATGTTACCCGTGTGTTGCACAAGGATTTGTTGATCATAAGATTTGAAAGTGTTGCGCAAGACAAGAAAAAAAACAAATCCTACAAACAAGGCTGCAAAACACAATTTGCGGTTGATTCTTATAGTCCTCATCGCCGTCTCTTAAGTATTAACACTAAAATCGAGTTCTATATTGTTCTATCTATTTTTGGGTACAACTTGTCCGCCATTTTTTCTGTCAAATTCCATTGTGCTCATGCTTGCGAAAAGAATTCCGCTGGGGATAGTAGCCCGCGATCGGAAGCGTGGCTGCTGAGTCCTCTGAGTTTTGAACAAAATGGAGTGTTTGATTGGTATTCAAGGTCCTGATTTTGTCCTAGTGGCTAGTGATTCTGCGAGTGGGAGAAGTATTATACGCATGAAAGATGGTAAGACATAATATTTTCTATCTTTTCTTAGATATTAATGACCAGAGTTGCATTGATTATAACGAAAAATTAGGTGACAGAGTCCTGTACCGCCATGAGGCGCGCTAGTGTCATGACTCAGTAGTTTTGTGTTGAGTTTGTTTCGCATAACTGTTTGACGAAAATTTCCTGTCAATAGTTAAAAAACTACTGTGCTGTATTTTGCCTTGTTGTTGCCTTTCTATATCTTTAAACTAAGCAGTTCCTTTCAATATGCAACCAGAATTAATGAATTTCTGGTGCAACATGTACTGTCACTTTCCTGTTTTATTCTGCTGCTGTTAAGCATAATTGTACTGTACAAATTAATCATGAAAATTTTGGAATCAGTGTAAAATCCCATGTGTGATTTATTAATATTCAAATGCGCTTTTCATCAGCTTTGTAAAATGAGTGGAGAAAATTTGAGAATTTGCCTTAGGGGATGAGGAATGTCCCCAGGGTTAAGTGCTTCTCAATGAAAAATCCCCCTGATATCCATACATCTACCTCATACAGGATTCTTTTGACTGACGAGAATTTTTACAATAGCTGGGGATCAAACTTTACTAATTCATTTTAGGCTTGGCAGGGCTCTAAATAATTTCCGGAGAGTCTCAGGACTCGATGACCGGGCCAAATTCCTTTTTGCTTGGTCACGCATCATTTCTGGCCAGTCAAATTTATAAGATAAATAACTCTTAAAGCAGGGGCCCATGAACCAAAACTGGCGTTACATATTTCCGAAAGTCATTTTTTAGAGCTTAAAGCAGTTTAAAGTACTCATTGTCAACAATGAAAAACAATACACAATAAATTACAGCAGAGAAATGAAAATAAGCTTATGTTTCAATGCGCAAATTGTAATCAACGGTTCTAGTTGCACGTTGCCCAGGATTTCAGATCAAAGTTCTGCAATACACAGTGTCTGACTCGCTACATGCTGACTACAACTGAACAGCATGGAAATTTTAATTTGTTTCATCCATACATCTACCTCATACAGGATTCTTTTGACTGAGGGGAATCTTTACAATAGCTGGGGATCAAATTTAACTAATTCATTTCTGGAGAGCCTCCGGCCACAATGACTGGGCTAAATATATTGCTTGTCGCCCAGGATTTCAGATCACAATAATTCTGTAATACTCACTACATACTGATAGACAACTGAACAGCATGGAAATTTTAATTTATTTCATTTTCAATACGATTGAATTTGAACAGTCAACATGACTGGTCAACTTCCCAATCAGTCCGGACATTGTTCATTGACCGGCCGTTCTTTCGAGCCCTGCTTGGAGAAGTAATATAACACCTTTGTACTAAAAAGTCAGTACTATATTAGAACCTCTGTACTATTCACCAACCCAAGAAAAACTCCCCTACACTTAACTTCTACAGATCAGGACAAAATGTTCAAGTTAAGCAGTAAATTGCTGATGCTGGTTACTGGTGAAGCGGGGGACACAGTTCAGTTTGCAGAGTACATGGAAAAAAATATACAGCTTTATAAAATGAAAAATGGTAAGCCTTGTATAAAGAGGGATGAACACTCTGTCTTTTAGTTATTGCTCTATCATATAAAAATTTGGTTTAGTTATAACTGAGTTGATAAGATGGTTAGCCTCCAAAGCCTAAAATGTATAAGTATCCTTACTTATTAAGTGTCTTAACCCATTTGCCCCCAAACGATCTGTAACTGTCCATGCAATAACGTGTGCAGAGGGAAGAGATCTTTCAAACCATACAAGCATGGGCATGATTCAGTCAAGGAGACCAGAGAAAAAACACAAAAAAACCATGAAAGGTTGATGATCTTGATGATCTTGATGATCTTGTACCACTACTCTGACATCTGCACTTCCTGAAGCTTTCCCTGAAAGAAAATCCATGAAAGGTTAAAGTTAAGTTTGCTGTGTCACTGTTAACCCCAAAAACCTTTAGAAATTTTGCTTTCTGCACATGCCTTAACTTCAAAAGCTGATATTTTGCATCCAGAAATGGAGGCAGCAAAGTACTTGACCAGTAAGTGTGTTTTTGTGCAGACATTGACCACAGAATGGCTCGACTAACTTCTGAAGGTTTTTTTTGGCAAACTCTCCGGGTAAATGGGTTAATACCATCGTTTTTTCCAACCAATTAAAACTAACCTCTTAAATGAAAATGTTTTTAGGATATGAGCTCACCCCCCATGCAGCAGCCAACTTCACAAGACGTAACTTGGCAGATGCACTACGAAGTTCTGTGAGTAGTAAAACATACAAATTAAGTTCACAAGTGTAAGAAATTTGTTAGCTATATCATATATCTACTCATTCAAGACACTTCCTGGCTTTTTTCATTGATTTTGTTTCATACAGTGGGACATACTTTAGTCTGTAGTTTACAAGACTATGGTCAGAGTTCTCATAATAGATATTCATCTAAGAGAACATCTCTGCTTTTGACTGCCATGGCAAAACCCCATTTGAAGGGGTGAATAGAAAACATCCCCAAATAACTCCTGATCAAAATGTCAAATTCTTTTATTCAATTTCAAAGGGAATATAGCAGATCTACCTTGAGGTTTCATTTCTGGAACCCCTTGAAGATTATTTGGGGTTAAAATTAGCCACAAGCAAGGATGGCACAGTTAATCTGAGGCCTTTGGTGCAAGAAGTCCCAAGTTTGATCCCTGGTGACATTACATCCTTGTTTCAACATCTCTCCTTTCTGTTTAGCTTTAAATTCTGGATTCCAAAAGCACGAATTTTCAAGATTACCAAATCCAGATTTCTATACATGGGGCAATTTGGAGTATTCCGCATGAGGGTGCTGTTCCAACCCACACTGCTTTTGTACAGGTTTCACTGGATTTTGTTTTGGTTTACACTGCAGTATTCTACCCCAAAAAGAACACTGTGCTTCATAAACAGTAGCCTATGTAGCAGGCACTTGAAAGTAATGGGTGCAAGAAAGAATGGGGTGGGCCCGGTTCTTTCTTGTTATTTCTTCCTTATTATTTCCAAGCACTTGCTATGCAGGCTATATAAACAGGAAATATGTGAAAAGAAGGCACCTGATTTTGATAAAAGCAAAAATAAAATATTATTATTGTGAGTGTGCAGACCATCAATTATTGTTGATGGTCTGCACACTCACTCCACTTGTGTGTAACAAGTGGATTATTTGTCTAAATGTTCCCTTTTCATTAACTTGAACTCTAGTCTGCGTACATGGTCAATATGTTGATAGCTGGGTATGATGAAGCAAATGGCCCAGAACTCTACTTCATGGATTGGCTAGCTTCTCTTCAAAAAGTAAGTATTTTATATTTCATTGGTGAGATCCTAGTGCCTTTGTTATACTTTTACTTTCTGTCACACTGCTAGCAGAGTCCTTCTAAGTTCGACAGTTCACTTGCTTGATTTTGGCATACTCCAAAAAAGGACTCTGCATGAATTGAGTAAGCTCTTTGTTATGCATGTGCTGCTTGATGCTAGAGCAGTGTTCTTGGGACAGGGGGCTCAGTTATAACCATCGATTTATCAATAAATGGATGCTGGCACGCGGAAAACCGGTTTGGTATGAGAAAACAAGATTGGTTAGTCCAGATGTTCAGGCTGCAGTGACTTACAGGCTTAATGTGATTCAGGCAGAACCTCCTGTTCTCCTCCTCGATCAAGAAGACAAGAGGAGACTTGCTCACGGGTTGAGTTTCTATGTTCCCATGTGTTTTAAATCCATCCTGGTGCACAAGGTATCCTTCTGTGTTCCTTAAACTTTTCTGACCTTGTTTTCCTTATAACAGGTACCATTTGCTGCCCATGGCTATGGATCATTTTTTTCCTTGAGTATTATGGATCGTTATTATAGACCAGGTTTGCTTTGAACAAAGTTTTTTCATAACTCTATTAGCTAAGCATAGTGCAGCATAGAACACGAAACTTATTCCCAGCTGAAGAAAGAATGTTGAAAAGTAATTTTCCATAACTTGGTGGAGAGAAACTGAGGTACTGATTGGACAATCGAACAATACCTTTTTTCTATCTTAGGGTTTACTTGGGCAGGAAAATGATCTGATTTGATCTTCTCATCTATTGGCTGCTGAAACAAATAACAAACACTTTTTAATAAGTTTTACAAACCGTTTCGCAAGGTCAGAAGAAAATCGCACCATGAAAGACTTGCTTTGTGAAGGATCATTTAGCAAAATCACTCAACACTGCTAGAAAGAACGCCTTACAATTAGTAAACTTACCAAGTTTGAAAGTGTTGCATGCGTCTTAAGCGAGCAAAGTTATAGCCCCACAAAACTGGAAAATTAGCTTACCGTAAATCCTCTATTAAGCGCCCCCTCTCAAATAAGCCCCCTTCCCTCTAATAAGCCCCACTTTTCATGGGAAGAAAGTTAATTTGATTCTCATCCTCGGCTGCGGGACCTAAAACTTCTATCTTGTACTTGAGCTTTTCCACTTGTATTCTAGTTCTTTATGGAGAACTGATTCCATCATCGTTTCTAGATTAAATAAGCCCCCCCCTCTCAAATAAGCCCCCCTTAAATGGGCTTGAAATAAATAAGCGCTCCTGGGGGGGCTTAATACAGGATTTACGGTATGTATGTTTGTATGGTGGGGGGGGGGGGGAGAGTTGAGCACCCAAACTTGCCTTGATGAGCTATATCTTTGTACGTTTTCAACAAATCACTTTCAAACTTAGCAGTTTTACTGATTTAGAGGCGCTCTTTCCAGCGGTGTCGACAGATTTTCCATAACTGATCCATGTCAAAAGTTCGGAAAAAATATCATGGAAAGGTCTCAGACCTTCCAACCCCCATGGTTTGACCGTGAGACTCACGGTTTGGGCAATCAACTCACGGTGTCACGATTTACAGCCCCCAAATCTGATAGTGAAACAGAAAATCTTAAAATTGCCGGACAAGTAAGTTCTCTTACAATGAAATGACGACCTCTGACTTTTATTGATCACTAAATTTGTTGGTGAATTCTTTTTTCTTCTGTTAATTATAGTAAATTAAAAAGTGAGCGATCGAGACAATCAGACTGAACAAAGTTTTTATTCAGTGATTTTTCTTCATCTTTTTAAAAACAGGTTTAACTCGTGAGGAGGCAAGAGAGCTTCTTCAGAAATGCATTGAAGAGGTAAATTAACAGGTCCTCTCTCATGTTCAATTTCCCAATAGAAAGCAAGCAAGCTCTCCAATCCCCTCTCACTGGTATCTCCTTTCGCGTGCGGCTCTCGCGTGACTTCTCGCGACTCTACCAAATGGAGAGCTTCCTTGGCTATTTTTTCTACTTGAGAGAGCAACAAGTCATTTTTCTTTATTGCATCAAGAGATTAAAACAAAGCTCTCGTCTTGAGCAACTATTTCAGAACATATATTTACAACCTCAAGTAACAATTTGATCTCTTGTCCTATTTTGGGGGTCAAATAAGCTGTGATCACAAAAGGCACAAGCCTCACCGGTCGCTTTGTTTCCATAGACATAGACAAATGGGTACCGACGACATACTGCTGTGGGGTAACCCTGCGATGGACTAGCATCCCGTCCAGGGGGGAGTGGCAATACTCCTAGGCATGCTCCATGCTAAGGAAACCGGGATAAGCTTCCGTCGTTTTAATGGCATAATGAACAGCTCTACTGGTTAAACGATCGCAGTTTTGTCACTCAGAGTTCTTCGACGAGAACTTATAACTTTTGAAGACCAATTTTCAAGAACCACTAGACATACGTTTTTTGAGTTGATGGTTTCCTTTCTTCTCCTGTTTTAGGTCCAGAGGAGATTTCTTGTCCGTCTTCCCGATTTCTTCATAAGAATAGTCGATAAAGATGGCGTCCATGATGTTTCTATCCCCTCCCAAAACTGAGAAAGAAAATCAAACAATAGCAAAAAAAGTTACCAGTCGCTATAACTTTTAGCCCGCGTGGCACGCGCGTGAAAGATGAAGGAAACATAGAACGCGCGACAACGCAAGGGACGTGCGAGGGAGTGACTGAAAAAAGCTCTACTTCTCTCCACTGCCCTTCGCGCTTCACGCGAATGCAACCCACTTACCCTTCTCTTTCTTGCGCCTGCAACACGTTCTACAACATGGTGTGTGAAATAATGTGGACATCCTCGCTTAACTTATCGTGAAATGTTCACTTTAGAAACACTGTGGCTATCTTGTTTTTGTACTTTTCTTGTGCACATTGTAAGAATAAATTCGAAGAAACCAATAAGTTCCTGCCAGCTGTTTTATTTGAAGGTTTTTTTTATGAGGCGGTGGTTACTTTTGATGTAAAGACGAAGCCTGAAAGTTAACGTCTTTGCAATTTTAATCCTCACATTTAAAACTTAATTTAAAGATACATTTCACGCTTCCGGCTTTCTTCAGTGTTAACCACAGTTAGGAAAAAGGTTTAAATGCCCGCATGAAATGCATGTGATATGATACCTGTTTATTGGTCAAGCTCTTTTTTGCGTTTTTAAAGACCGAGACGATGTCGAGGTCGATAACCAAAAAGAGAACTTTTCTTGCGGGACCAACGCGGGAAATCCTGAGTGAGCGGGCAAGATGGTCAGAGCACAGGAATTCACCCATTACAATAAATTGGGCTAAACCTGTGATTGAAAAAGGGTTGGTTTTTTAAGAAACTCTGGTGCTGCTTCGATCGGGGGGTGAAATACAAAAAAATGATTTTATCAACTAAGCTGACAAGGGGGATAAAGATAAAGTAAACTGGCCACCGTAGACAGGTCGAGAAGTTGACGTTTTTACCCTGAGTACAAGAGTTTTTTTTTCTCGCGTGCGGCGGGATTCTTCGGTCGAAGGCAGAGACACGAGCGGCAAAAAGTTCACGTTCTCATACGTTTTCTTGAACTACTTGAGAACGCTTGCTGGTAACCTCTGGGTTGGATTGAAAGAAAACTCTATGTAAATTCGTTTGGCTCGTCATGCACTCCTACCGTATTTTAATTTGTGTTACTAGTAATCTTGTCACTCCTAATTCACATTTGCTGGTTATGGATAGTAACTATCTGAGTTCAAAAATAATTTCAACGCTTATATTTTCAAGCAGCAATAAAAGAAAAACTCTCGGCACTCTGATTTGATACATTTACCTTGCTTACCTGCCTTCAAGCAGGTTCACTTTTGCGAGTTCTCAGTTCTGGTGTTGCCGAGTTCAAAGACGGTCACTTTCAAAACAAAGTTTTACCGACGGATCCTTTTAAAACTCTGTTAACTTAAAATCATAGATGAGTTACTACCTAGAATACCCCCGTAAAGACAACATTTTGCTAAGTTATATCATCTGCATGAGCCATCGCTTTTGCTCGTCGGCACTTTCCATTGTTTTTCAGCTTTAAAAAACGATAAAAATTCCAACAGGCAAATGCGACGGTTGTGCGTATACTATACTGAGGAATTCTCCCCGTGTAAAAACCTTCAGCGGGTTTCAGTCCGGCGAAAGTGACACCAGTTTTGGTTTCTCGCACGATTCTCTGGATGCAAAGATAGTTTCAACCCAGTTGTACTAAAATTCTTTTGTTTCTCTCGAAAAAAATAAAGATTTCGAACGTTCCTGATAGCAAAGTCGCTACAGAGTTTTGGCTTGAATTTGTTTAATGCAATTACACCAACTGTGCTAGAATATTCATTTAATTTCATGGGGTCGATCTTAGTTTTCTGCTTTAAAATGAATATTTATTACTTTCCCTCATCGTGTACAATGAATGAATCACGAGTTTTTTGGCCTTAATTAACATTCTATTCATCTCCTTTGAAAAACATACTTGGAATAATTGAAAAATGAGATTATCTAGGCGGGGCTTCAACTATCAGAAATCGACGTTTTATTACAACTTTTGCTACACAGAAACAGTAGCATTCCACTCTTATAAATGACCCTCTGAAATCAAGGAACTTTATTCCAGCATCAATTTCCCGGTGGAATTGCTACGATTCCGTTTAAACGCAAAAACAAATTTAAGATTGATTTTATCCACGGAGCAAACAAAAATAAACAATTACTAAATCCCCGCCACCTTGCAACAAAATCGTGCGTTTTCGCGTGGTTGGTAATTTTCTCTTAATTTTGGTTACGCGGGATTAAAAATCTTCGTCACGAAAATGCATTCATATGTTAAAATATCGGTTTAAATATGGCACCTCCACTCCTTCTGTCCAAACAGTGTTTATTCTGGATAATGAAAACGAAATGATAAGAATGCGTTCAACTTTCGAAAAGTATTTTACACGAAGGTGCGAGAAAACTGGGTTTTCAGAAACACAAAAGGTTTATAGGCCCTGTTGAATTTAATTTTTTGTCGTCTTAAATGTGGCATGTTTTAAATGAGCAAGAGCGCGTTTCGTCCGTTTTCGGTGAAGTTATTTTTAAACATAAGAGAGTTGCCTATTACCGGTTAATGTGGATGTGGGGCTGTTTTGATTGCTGCCGCCGAGTATGGTTTGCAGAACAATAGAAAGTTGTCAAATCCATGAGGTCAATAGCCGATTGTTCCCTCTATGAAATAAATGACGTCGCACCTTTTGCTAATTTCCGTCCGCTCTCCTATGTTGGCGAGTTATAAACCACAAAACGACAGTTTTTTAACGACGACAGGTCGACACTTGCCCAGAAAGAGAGTTGTTTGAATACCAGACTGAAGGAGATGGCGACTCCGCGAAGGCAAATTTTCGTTCGCCCGAAAAGTGAAATAATTACTGTATTGGATTGGCAGCAGGTTTCTAACGAAAGACCCGAACAATGGCAAAATGAAACTTGTTTAGACGCGCAGTTCTTTGAAAGCAAAAATCAGAAGATAAAGACAGGATATGTATGTGGAAGTTATGAGCTCACTTGCGAGAGGCTGGGAGCGGAATCAGATAACGAAGCTGTGGAAAATATTCCAGAAGTAGAACATTCACGGCACAACTCGACTGATGTCAAAAGAAGTGCCTTGACCATAAATCTAAGGCCAAAGAGTGTCCGAGTCAAACCGCAGCTTGTAAAAGCGCAGTCAATGGCTAGTTTGCCTCGAAACGTCGTCGACAGTGATGATTCTCAAAGTGCCGTAAAAGATAGAAGCGGGCTAAATCGCCGCAAGGGCTCATTAGATGTATCCCTTGCAAAGCTTCGACATGAAATGGTAAGGACATAGATAAAATCTAATCGATCTTGTAAAGAAGGCTAACGTACGTTTTGTGAGAAATTTTAGTTAATATACATAGCAAAATGCTTAAATGCGGAATAGGGATGAATATGAAGTTTGCAAAAAAGTTTGAGAAACTAAAAACATATTTCCCCGTTTATGTTCAATCAATGTGCTAATATCCGTGTAGCGGTCATATCAAGACAACGTGAGCATTTTGCGTACACTGCAGATATTTATCCCCTTGTTCTTGCCGCGAGTTATAAGCAACACAATAGCCGTGAATTTCGTTAGAAATCGCTTTTTATCTCCTTTGTTTAGGTCTAATATTTCTGCCTTAGAAGTGTGAACTCCTAAATTCGCTTTGTCTCTTTGCGCGCGAAGCTCTCAGCAGCAATTTCACATTCGCCGCTAAATTGTTTATAAAGGTTTTACGTTTTGAAATTAAACGAAAATTAATCGCTTTACAGCTATATCTTCAAGTTGCAGGTTGACTCACGTTTCCTTTCGGAAGCACATACAGCTGTTTATAAAAGCGATGCCCAACCTTTTGCATTTTTTCTCTGGTAACGAATAAGCTCTTTGTATAGCTTTTGAAGACAATTATGTCATCGACCTGCTTTTGGATTTACCGTGTTTAGAAAAAAAATGAGGACAATAGGGGCCATTGTGTCCAACTTAAGGGGGCTAATTTTCCGTTTTTTTTGTTTTTTTTTTTGAAAGAATACAAGATTTTGAACAGATTGCAACGAACAATATGAACTGACGCAAAAGCACCGCCGGCGAGTTGTGAGTCCGCTATGAAATTCTCGGACCATACATCCGAATTGTCTAAACAATTTTTTGCTGTCGATAAAAAAGGGAAGTTTGTAAAACAAAGTTGTTATTTTTACCACTTTGAAAGCTAGTGCTTAACAAAACACTTGAGCTGAAGACAAAACAAACCAAGAAGTGATTTTGCCGGCTATTTTAAGGTCATGGGTCTTAAGCCTATCTTCGGACGGAAAACTTAAGATGACTATGAAGTTAAATAATTACGACAGAAACTGTCAAAAGCTTCAGACAGCTCTAGTCGATGCATCAAAATTGATTTGCTCAAGGAGAGCGTCTCCTGGTATGTTTATAATGTTTATAAACTTAACTCGGTATTGAATTCTTCGACTAAATCAGCACACTCTTAGAATTGTTTGCAGCCAACATTCTGAGGTTTTTTCGTCAACAACCCTAATAAAAAATCATTAGATAACCTCGGTCGCCATCTTCCTCAAGAAATCTTTCAGTAAAATTGTCATTTTTCTTTTTTCAACTACCGCAAACAATTGTCTATTGATTTCCTCGAAAACAAAAGAAAAAGAAAATTTGGGATATTTCAGTGTTGTTTTCTGTAAAGTGATCTCCATGAACGAAACTGGCAAAGTCGGCAACTGTCATCGAAACTGGCAACAACTAAGTATCACTGTCTTTTATAAAGTCGGTACAAGATGACTCCACGCTTAGTTTACCATTGACGTTCCCTCTCACTGTTCGGGAGGCAAACAATACAGAGTCAACTTGATCGCCTCTAACTTAAGCCTTGTTTGAACAGACCACATACATTGGAAATCAAACATATTTGTAACTAAAATAGTACTAAATATTATTTCGATGTTGCCTCGACATAAGTAAAATCATCTTCATTATTGCTTTTTGTGTAGAGAACTGAGGTTTTTGTTTGCGCGAATTCTTTACTCGTTGTTCAAAACTAAAACAAGAGGATTCCGCGTATATTCGCTTCTGTTTTACATTTAAAAGACAAACATTTTTCAGGGGTCAAATCAGCCCCCACTCACGGTTTAAATCTTTAGTTAATCTCTTGGTACACAAGCGGCATATTTTATAAATTAAACGGTTTGATTGATGCACGTTCGTAGATAAAATCACGGAACTTTGACGTAGACACCTATGATGTTAACAGTTTTTATTACATACATTTAAAAAACCTGCTTGGCAGGGTTTCGAACGGGAACCAAAGAAGAGCACTAGCCTTAACACGTTCTTCGGTGCCCTGTTTTGTTTGCTTGTTTACACAAAAGCATTTTTACTTGCTTTGCAAACGACTAAGACGAAATTAATTGGCCGACAGGGAAAAATTCCTTCACATTGCTTTTACACTTTAAACAATAAATCAAAAGTGTCAAAAACGTCCCTCCTTACCCCTACCCCACTGCATTTCAAACACTGTTGCTAGCTGGGATTATCTGGTGGCCCCTGCGAGTCCTTGATGAAAATTGGCTTGGACGCCTTGGCGCCGTACCTAAACAACTAAACCTTGCGCACAGATGTTTTTTCCGTTGAAAAGCTTCTATTCATTTATTTATTTCGCTATTGTAATGGTGTTTTTGTTTCCTCGTTTAGAATTCTTTAAGAAGACAGGATATGCAGTTACTTGAGCAACTTCTGAATCTGAACAACAGCATTCAAGATTTTAAGCTTTCCCAGCATGCTTTACCATACGACTCCTCAGATGAGTCCGATAATGCTGACGACACAGTGATGGAGAAGCCGCTGAAACCGAAGCGTAGGCTCAGTCGGGGGGACTTAGGCTCTAATCGATCCGATCAAGTTGGGGAAATCATGGAAAGGCCATTGGAACCAAAACGTTGGCACAGTCGAGGAAGTCTAGGTTCAGATGAGTCCGACCATGCAGAGATAGCGATGGAAGCCCCACTAAAACCAAAGCGCTGGCTTAGCCGAGGAAGCCTGGGTTCTGACGGAAGTGATTACCACAGTGTGTCCAGCAGATTATCGATCGGAAGTGGAAGTGTTCCCTCGCTTAGCGGAAGTGACGTAGCAAGCTATGATAGTGGTCAAGAAAGTGGTACTGGCCTCAAGTCTTGCAGAAGACGAAGCAAAGGAAAGTTCGGATCGATGGACTTGAGGCGTGTGTCTTTTGGAGCAGTCAGGCAACGAAGTGGAAGCGAGGTCTTTTTGAACGAAAATGAAGTTGTATTTCCGGCCAAACAAGTTCGGCGTAATTCAGACTTTCGCTTAGCAGAGATTAAGTCAATTAGAACTTTGAGCAAACGACAAAGCACAATATGGTAAAGTGAAAAACTCTTGTTGAGTTGTGTCTGTGGCAAAGATAACTTGATGCTAGAAACTAAGATACGAGGGGTGGGGCTGATAACGCAAGCTCCCTTGCCCCTTCCCTTCTGTCCTTGCGAGGCCTGTAGAGTGACATAGCTTGCCCGAATACAATAGCTTTATTTATAAGTCCTCGTGTTAAAGAGAAATAAGTCTAAATTATATTTTCTAACACGTTGAATATTGTACCGCAGTGACTCAATGAATTATGTTAAATGGTTAAAGATCTCTCATTAATTGACCTAAGTTTTGGGGCTACTTTATTTGCTTGCTATAAACACTAAATATGAAGCATTGCCGCAGTTTATAGGTTCGATTATAAGAGACATTTAAGAGATATGTCATCTAGCTAGGGTAGTGGAAAACATTAACAAATGTTTATAAATATTAATTTGCTGTATGACAAAATTTAGTCTTGTTTTATGGATTATATTCTCCAGCGACGAAATCGCACAATGTATTTCGACGGAGCAGACTAAATGGCTCGAGGGAGAAAAAATTTCCTAAAGAATTTTCGGTTTCTTTGAATCAAGTGTTCTTTGGAATTATCTGGGGTAAGCACTAGAATAATTCAAGGCATAAGAAATAATTTTCCAATGCATTTTTGTTTCTGATGAATGTATCGTCCGTTTTATAAAAAAAAATAAGTAAGGAAAATATGTTTGCTAAAACTAACTATGGGTCTTCATTAGACCCCGCAGATAATGTTAAATTGCAATATTTGGTTTTATGGAAATAATTGCCAATTAAAATATATTTATTGGTTCTCCCAATCATAAAATAAGGATGGGATACAAATTTTAAAAATCACCAGTGTTAGTATTTCATTCATATCAATAGTTACTGTTTTTATTACATTTATCGTTATCCGACAAAGTCAAGATTTTTGACGCAAATGATACCTGAAATCTTAAGGGTAGATGAAATTCTAGTGTTTTTATTATCTCAGTCGCTTTAGCCTAGTCGATTGTCAATAAATCTATGTTCACTTCAGATCAATTGTTTAATCAAAATATAGGTGGATCTACAACCTCAAACAGGGCGCGTTTAATTGGTCACGTGATCAACGACATTCACATAACAGCAGTCACTTGACTAATGAAGACCTTGTTGTGACGTTCAAATGTTTTTGAATACTATTTTGTCCAAAGTCTGAAATTGTTCTTGACAACGCCATGTTTCCAGAGCAGGAAAACAATCTAATGTTCGATAGAGGTTTAAGCTCGTTTCGGATGGCCAATACCCTGGGTACCAGAGGTTTTTCTCGCGTACGACGGGAATTTTCGGTGTTGGCCGAAGGCCGAAGCCGCTAGAAAAAACTTTTCGCCCGGGTCACTATAAAGACTTGACCGAAACCGGAAACCGCGCTAGAAAAGTCTCTGGCACCCAGGGTAGATGCCCAACTATTCGTCAGTCGAACTTGATTCGAATTTGGGCTGACCCCAATTTACAAATGTACGTACGCCGAACCTGATGCAAAATTTCTATGTGATAACTTTTCAGAACTTACGCATTTTAGTAAAATCCAACTAGTGGTCTATTATCAACGTTGCGTTCTGATTGGTTGAGCTACTACTAGGCTATATGTTATAGCCCACTAGTAGCGAAAAGCGCCGGCTTTTTGGCGGCAAAAAAGGATTAAATTCTAGCTTTAACTAGCTAAAGTTGTTTTGTCTCGATATTTTTGACCAACTAGTTGGACTTTACTAAAACAATTATTCCTCTTGCCCTCATTGCCTCATTCGGCCTTCGGTTTCATGGGCTATTGACTCAGAGCCCACTCGGGCTCGAGGAATAATTGTTAAATATTCGGTACATGAAGGGCTGGACCTCTTAATCAAACAACCCTTGCCAGCTCAAAAAGCGACTAAGCGAAGAAAATTTTTCCCAGTGTGAAACCTTGTTCCCAGTCGCCCTCGGCGAGTTCGGATGTGACGTCACATTCGCGCTCTGTTCCATACCTCCTCCGCTCGCTGGGATAGCGCGAATTGACCCGGAGACAAGGCTGTCCAATGGATATATATATAAAGGCTGTATACTGTCGTTGCAGTTCATTTTCACTTTAAAAAAACTAAAACGCGTAATCAAACGTGATCCTCCTGCCGTGATTACTAGTAATATCATATTTACTTTACGTGCTAAGAAATTGTTTGCTTTTGTTTCCATGTCATTTTGTAAATTTCTTGTACTCTATCATTGTTATGAGCTAATAGTCTCGCCTCATTTACAAATGTAGCATTTCTTATCTTATCTTGAAAAGTCATATTTTAAGACGCCTCAAGCAACACTCAGTTCGATCTCTTTCGAAAAGTTATGATTGACACCTGTCATGAAAAGTGGTACAAGTCGGACATCAGTAGCGCAAGCTATGCTGATATCCTCTTTTTAGAAAAGAATTTTCTATAAAATCATTTATAACAAAAAAGCTATGCCAAACCTCCATTTTCTGCCGACTGATTTCTCTCACTGGTGGGTTTTGTGCTTGACACTTTATTTCCACTGCATACTGAATGGTGCACGTAAAAAATATATTAGTACTACTTACGAAAGTGCGAACGTGACCTAGTCTGAATCTTGATAGTTTATTTCATTTTCAAGGTTCCTGAATAGGAGTCTAATGTGACATCTTAGTCATTTAGGAAAGAGATGCATGCCGTCCGATCCGTATTACCTTATACCTTCAGCTGAACAAACCAAGAAAAGGTGAGTAAAATAACACAGGCGACAAGGATTTGTTGATCTCCGATTTTTAACTTAATTTTTGGTAAGAAAACAATTCGAAGAAGTTGAAATCCGTTGGGTAAATTTAATTTACTTATTGTTGGATGTATTGACTAAAATGCTATTGAAAAGACATACGTGTGCGTGCACACACACATACATACACCCTCAGAGTCACTATAAGTTTTTAAGGTTCGAAAACGGCTTCAATTAGGCGACTAATAGTACCGCGAAGGAATCGAATAATTTTTGAGCATCTATAGTGATGGCGACAGCAGCTAAAACATTACTTATAAAGCGCACTGCCGTTCTTTTAAACTTTACTGCGATTACTGTAAAATTTGGCCATTTTGCGTAATCTAATTAAATTTTCCGGGAGCTGGACTTATTAGGGTCCACGTCCGCATGGACGTTCAGAAAGAGAAAGAAAAAACTTGGTCGTCAGGTGACGGTTAACTTCCTACATAACGGAGACGCGTAAGTGAAGGCAAAGAAATGTTCCAAAAAAGAGTGATCAATGCACGAGCAGAGATTTTGTCTTTCTTTTAAACCCTATTGTACTAGCTTCTCAACAGCTTTAAGAATGGTCACACATTGCAATAAACTTAATCCGAAAGAATTTTAAGGCTTAAGGCATTACCGGGGAGGGGTACCCAAAGGGGAGCTTCTCAATTGCTTTCGATTCAGTGAAAAATCAGTAAAGTCATGGCAAACTGGAGTTAGGCTCTTGTTCAAGTAAGGGGCCAACCCTCTTATCAGCGTTACTATTTACTAGCCGGAGTACTAAGCCAGACTTATATTTCCTTGCTTCCAGTCGGAAAAGCGAAGCAGGGAAATTTTCTGAAATTTAAGAGGGATCACATGTGAAGGATACAACGGCTGCTGGTATTAATAGATCAGTTTAGTTTCTGTTTCGAGGTCTCAATTCAAAACGTGCAACAAGTACCACCTTATGTCCCTTTTTAAGTATCGGTTTCAATGAAAACCATTCTTCGAAAATTGCGCATGCATAATCACCGGCAAAATAACCTCGCAACGACAGGGGAGAAACATGATGTTATGTCCTCGACGCCGTTCTGTTGCCGGTTTTCAGTCGCGTCTAGAACTTTTAGACATAAATCGTTCCCGGCCGCATCCCGATGATGCCTGGTTCCTAGTATTGAAATACTAGAAGGAAAGACATTTATTTCGTGTCGTTCATGAGTATAGTTAAAAACACAGTGAACAACTCCAATTATGTAATCACTAAGTTTCAAAGTGAATTAAAAACGTTTTTACGCAGGTGTTTTTTCAGCGGCCTCCTACGTCACTGTTTACATTATACCCGAGCTTCCGGACGAGGCAAAAAATATGTTCCAAGTCCAAAAAAAGCCCTTTGAAGGTGTTTTTTTTCTTGACGGTTTCTCTCCTTGAAACGTTTAAATTAATCTCTGAGACAATTGTACTTCACGTCTTCGATTTTTACAACAAAATTTACTTCAAACTTCTCCTCCCAAAATTTACTAATTGCTATTTTGTTTTCTAAGCTGTGTAAACAAATAACATAAGCAAGCAAGGCATTTTCAAGAAAATTATTTTGTAACAGCCTAGATAGCAATTTCATTTACATGCCGCGACGTGGAAGCGATCATAGTCAGGAAAAAAGTTGTACACTTCGTTACGTGAAACGAAGCGATCGTCAAAGGTTCAACGTGACTTTCTGGTACGTTTTGGGAATCTCATGTGTCATTTAATTCCAAACCAAGAAGACCCTGTGTTATGCAAATTTGTTCGAATTTTCATTTATCATTTTGAAAATGTCACCTTTTTGGCATATAGATTAGTGGGAATTCAACATCTTTTAACCGGATATTGTTAGAGGAAAACAACTTTTCCGTGTTCCCAACGTGGTTACCAAGGTAAAGAAAGCCAATGAAATGCGTAACATCGCGCTGTAGGTAACAAACGTTTATTTCCCCGGAGTCGTCAGTGTATCGCTTGTCAGGTTTTCCCGCAAAATAACAACAGCTTTTGGTCAAACAACTCAGCTGAATCTCGCAGGTACGTTATTGAGTTCCAGCGCCGCTTGCCTTGAAATGTTTATCGCATGAGATGAAAACTTATACCAAAGAGTTGTCTAAGTTACATCCGAGCTTTTAACCTCAGTTTTGTCTTATTTTTTATTTTAAAGGTAAACAACCTCCCAATTAGCTCCGTCTTTGACTTGTTGTGGTAATCTTGCCTGGTGTCAGAGGAACTGTGTACTATTTATGGGTGATGAGCGCGAAAAGTTGGAAGGTAAGTCGTGTACAACAAAATTTGGCGAGTTACATTCTGATACGATATTTAATATTCTCTCCCTGATCTTAAGTTGTTTTCTCTATCTTTGTATTAATCCGCTATAGTTTTCCTCAAACAATAATGCTGACAACGTTTAAATGCCTTGTCTGTTGCTTGGCATACGGAAAAAATATTTTTTAATGCGGCTCCAAAACGTCAGTGTCCCGTTGAAACCACGTAGTAAGGCAAAAGATCGACAATACCGGTAAGTCTTCTCGGTTCTCGAGCTGTTGCGGGCTAAAAAAAGAAAGAAACCTGCTTATTTCGAAAAAAATCATTTGACTTGAGCAACCCAGGAGATCTAGCTACATAAATGTAAAAAGACAAGGTCAATAATTTTGAAGGTAATGTTGAATTTACCTTTAATCTATTTTTGTAATAGCAACTCTACTGTCTGACTCATTTGCCGAACAAATGTCTGCCTAGATTTTCAATGCTCTTTCAAAATGTATT